GGTTGTGCCTTGGGCCTTTTCGGTTTTCCTATGTAGTTGTGCCTTGGGCCTTCTCGCTTTCTTATGTGTTTGTGCTTTGGATTCTTTCGGTTTTCTTCTATGGTGGTGGTTTGGTGCTTCTTGTTTTATTTATGTGGTTGTGCAGTTGGAGTTTTTTGATTGTCTTCTATGTTGGTGGTTTGGTGCTTCTTGTTTTACTTATGTGGTTATATTATTGGGGCTTCTCGGTTGTCCTCTGTGGTGGTGGTTTGGTGCTTCTCATTTTATTTGTGCTTTGGGGCTTTTCGGTTTTTCTCTGTGTTGTTGGTTTGGTGCTTCTCATTTTTCTTGTGGTTGTGTCATTTGGGCTTCTCGATTGTCCTTTATGGTAGTGGTTTGGTGCTTCTCGTTTTATTTATGTGTTTGTGTCATTAGGGCTTTTCGATTTTCCTATGTTCTAAGGTTTGGTGCTTCTCATTTTACTTATGTGGTTATGTCATTAGGGTTTTTCGATTTTTCTCTGTGGTGGTAGTTTGGTGCTTCTCGTTTTTTCTCTGTGATGGTGGTTTGATGCTTCTCGTTTTACCACATTAATTGGTTGTGTCTTGGGGCTTCTTCGCTTTCCTTTGTGGTGGTGGTTTGGTATTTCTCGTTTCACCACATGGGTTGTGCCTTGGGACTTCTTGGTCTTATTTTGTGTGGTTGGTGTGGTTGTGATTTCGGTTGTAAGAGTGAACTTGTGAAGCTCCAAGGCACAACCACATATGTATATATCTAGCTGGTAAAGTTTCTTATAAGTTTTGTGCAACACCCAATGATGAGTGATACGCTTGATTGTTGTGGATTAACATAAAAATTATGAATTTAATATCACTAGTCGAAGTAACACCCGAAGATGGGTGTGGGTGTGGTTTGGTGGTTTTTGTTGGCTTTTGGTTGTGGGTGTGGGTGTAGTTTTGCAATATTGGTTGTGGGTGTGGGTGTAGTTTTGCAATATTGGTTGTGGGTGTGGGTTGTCTTGGGTTTTAATTGTGGCTTTGCATCGATGGTTGGTGTTGGTTTTGTTTTTGGTTTTGCATTGATGGTTGTTGGTTATGGGTGTGATTTGGTTTAAGATCACAACATTGGTAACTACAAATACTACAGTCTTACAACAAATGACACTGTTAGCCATAGAGAATGTCCGGTCCTAGAGCACACATTACACTGTTAATCATAGATACTGCTAGTCTTAAAGCACACATCGCACTGTTAATCATAGATACTGTCTGGTCTTAAAACACACATCACACTGTTAATAGAGGATAACTGATAAGCCCCAATGTCACAACCACATAAGTAAAATGAGCAGCACCAAACCACAATCACAGAGAAAAATAGAGAAACCCCAATGCACAACCACATATGAAAAACGAGAAGCAACAAACAACCACTACAGAGGACGACCAAGAAGCCCTAATTGCAAAACCACATAAGTAAAACAAGAACCGCTAAACCGCCGTCATATAGGAAAACCAAGAAACAACAAACCACCACCACAAAGGAAAATGAGAATGGAGGTAACGGTTAAAGATACAGAGAGAGGCGGCAGCGAATACAAGAGAGAAAAGAAGAGGATCGCGAATGTGCCCTAACAACAATTGCCCGCAGCGAAGCTGAAGGGAGAGAGAAGAGGGGAGGGGTAATACCAGGGATAAAATGAGTCCATTTCATAATTGAAGAGGGACACGATGGTAATTCCGAATCCAAACCACAATTAAATCCGCAAAGCTGAGGACGAAGCTGTCATTCGCCGCTTCTCCGTTTTTAAACATCATTATCGTAAAAGCAACCGAAAAGTTAGCTCCCAAATGAGTATTAACAGCTTTTCAAAACGAGAAGCATTTATAAAGCGCTCCCAAACGCACCCTAAGTCCCTAAACTTCTTTTGTTACCCCTTTCTTTAACTTATTATTTACCATATAATAACTCTCACCCTTGAGAATTATGTTATCTGTAACATGCTTCATGTTGTGACCTTTTCACCATCAATTTAACTTTTATTAATTCTTGTGATGTAACATGCTTCGAGTTGTGCCCTTCACCATTGGTTTAACATTATTAATCCTTGTGACCTTCAAAATCAGTTAATACTTCGAAGGCATCATCCTTCTTAATTTTCTTTGAATGGGACATCTCACTTTTCTCATTATCTTGTAAAGTTCATTTTGGTGATATGTTCATTTTGGGGCTTAGGTCTTCACCTTCTGATTTATATCAGATCTCTTTAATAGGAATGCTTGGAAACTTACCTCATCAATTGATAGTCTTCTCTTGAATAAGTTGTTCTCATCCAGACGCATTGATGTATTTTAACTCATATTGATGATTTTCAACATTAATAATTTATGACTCTTCATTATTTTTCTTCTACTAAATGAAGTGTGATATCACTTACGCACTTTTTATGCCATCTATTTTCTTAACATCTTAGTTCGCAAAAACTCTCTCCTTTGAGAAATATGTTATGTGTAACATGTTTCAAGTTGAATGTTTTTCTAATAGATCATGCTTTTGGCATTTCTTTGTGACCTTCGCCATCAGTTAATGCTACCAAGGTACCATCCATTTTCATTATCTTTAACCTCGTGATCTCATAAAGGCCATTTTGATAAACTCTTTGGGCACTTGGATGTCCATCTTTTTATTTTTATTAGGCTGATATTCCCGCATGAATTGATAGACCAGCCTTGAATAAGTTGTCTTCATCCACATATGCGTTGATGTAATGTAACTCATATTGGTGATTTTCAACATCAGAAATATTAAGACTCTTCAATATTTTCCTACTAAAATAAGAAGAATAATATTAATTATATGCCTTTGGTTCTATTTTTTTCTTACTTTTTTTTTCTAAGTTCTTACTTACTATGTGGGGACACTCTTCAATGAAAATTATGTTATTTGCAACATGATTTGACTTGAAATTTATTTATTTATTTATATTTTTAGCCTCTCATAACTCAATATTGGAATGGATTTTAAGAAAAAAGTACAGAAGTTGAAATGCATAATGTTAATCTGTATTCATAAACATTAATATGTAAGATCATTTATTTTGCTACTTCCTTTTCGATAAGGGATATTGGTAGTGCAGATGCCCTTTATAGGATATCACTCAATGATAGCCAATAAATAAAATGGGAACTTGTTATTCATCTATGGTAAAGTTCTATTATAATGATAAAATCTAGTTTCAATGTTTGTTTATTAATGCCCGAAATTATTGCGAGATAAATCGGTCAATCTCGCAAGTATATGTGTCGATCAAGTAATATATGAATTTTGAGTCCGCGTATCAATATCTCGAGGGAAGTTGTCAAAATATTCTAGTAAGAGAAATTCTAGTTTACTGAACCTCTGAATCTAGTTTGAATTATTTAATGCACAATTGTTAAAAGTTCTAAAATCCTAAATGGCGGAAACTAGACCAAGTTCTATAGAGTTTTTCAAAACATTAAAGGATCGTACCCCAATGATACCGGCCTAGTGGTTTCTCGAGGTTTCTTATGAAACCCATGCTATTGTAAACAACCAGAGACACAATTCTCACTAGCCTGTCTCTAGGTCATACGAAGAGGCAAAAATCATATTCAGTTAAGAGAAACTTGAACTTGTAGCATTTCTGAAGATTTCTCAAATCCCTTTTGTTGCAATTTCGTGATGACAATATGCATATTTCACCAAGCTATTGTGTGTTAACATACTTGTTTTTCTAGACGATGCTTAGAAGTCCTAGATCACAAATAATTTTAACATTTTATTGGGTCAGATTTGAAGTAAATTAAGACCAGAAGGTTAACACATCAATATTTGAAATACAAACTTTCTGTAGACTTCTCTCATACAATTGCATTCAATCTCTCCTGACAACTTCTGCAAACTCTCATGAAACAACCCTATGAATATTCTCAAGAAAAATCATTGGAGGAAATCCTAGAGTTGACGAAGACTCTATTAAAATCTGGAGAGAAGAAACATCCACAATGTCTAAGAGTGCCCTAGGTTGTGCCCAAGCTATCTTTATATAGCTCTTGTCAAAACTTTCATGAAAAACATTGCCAAAACAAACCTGGTCGAGTCGCAGCGTAGCCATGCCCGTGGCCAGCTTAGTTGAGGACGACATAGTTATGTCATATAGCTGCGTAATTATGTTAGTTATACAGATAGCTCGGCGTAACTATGTCGGTCCTTTAAATTATGCTAGTCCTTTAAATTCCGTGACTTCATATTTTATCTCTGTTATGCGCACTTAACACCTGTAACTTGGCAAATACCACCAAGAAACCTTCCACAAACGGAATAGCATGATAAATAGGGAAGAAAAAAATGGTGAAATGGCATTTAAAGCAAAGAAGTTATTTAAACTTATATTGTATCATCTATTTTCTCAAACGTATTTGTAAGAACATGAACATATTTTATATATGCATTTGGTTGTCATGCCCATCTTATAAATTCTTGTGGTACTCAGTCATCATTAAAAGTGACGAAGATTTTTTTTTCCTGTCCCTTTAGGCTTTTTATAATTACTTTTGCACAAAATCACCTCCATCATGGAATCTAGACGTAAAATTAAATTAATTGTTGATTCCATGGTAAATTTCCTGCTGTTTGTTTCATAGAACTCTCCCATTGCTTCAGTAATAGATCACGCTTTTTGTGAATTATACGTGTGAAGTTATATTTACTTTTATACAATATCTTATGAACGGCAGGAAAAACATATTTCTAGATTTTTTTTTTTACTGTAATGGCTGTTGATTTTGGTTATATTATGCCTATCATTAAAAACTGCTTGGCCAAAAGGCACACAACGATCCATTTGTTTTCAAAGATGTGGCAAACACTGACAAGTTGATTCTGAAGTTTCTTGTAAGCAAATTTATTTTAGGCTCTTAGCTCTAAAATTTCCTTCTTGGAAGCCTTGGCATTGTACATTATTTTTATCAGATGACTAACCATTTCAGTTTCCTGCACAGGTTATAGGGAAATGGAGAGCAAAGCAACAGAAAATTGTGAATTTAATTGATCAGGTGCAACTACTGCGAAGAAAGCTTCATAGATGTCAAATGTTCCTGCTTCCAAGAAGGAATGTCAAATTTGTTTTTGAACTGGTCAGGGATGTGATAGATTCTCAGGTCAAAAAAGGTAACGATTTGATTCAGGTGAAGACAAACAACAATCTGACCGAAACCTGCAACATCTGCCTAGAGATTACAGACTGTTCTCAAATTTTTACTATTGTTGGATGTGGACATAAATTCTGTTATTCCTGTATGAGGCAGCATGTGGAAGTTAAGTTACTTCATGGAATGCTCCCTAACTGCCCCCAGTTGGACTGCAATATTAGGCTGGAAGTTGAAAGTTCCAGGAAGTTCTTACCTCCACGACTCCTCATGATCATGAGCCAACGAATTAAGGAGGCATCAATTCCTCCAAATGATAAAGTTTATTGTCCTTATCCAAGGTGCTCAGCTCTGATGTCAAAAAGTGAAACAATCTTCCCCCTGTATGGCTCTGCTAAACAGAAAATATCTGACAATGCTGGACTTAGAAAATGTGTTAAATGCAGTGGATATTTCTGTATCAATTGTAGAGTCCCTTGGCATGAAAGAATGTCATGTTCTGACTATAAAACATTAAATCCGCTCCAACGTCCTGATGATCTCAGGTTACATTCGCTCGCAAGGCAAAAATTGTGGCGCCAATGTGTGAAGTGTAAACATATGATTGAACTATCTGAAGGATGCTATCATATAACTTGCAGGTATTGATATTGCCTTCATCTATCTGAATATTTCTCGTCATCATCATAATTAACTTTAGAAAATTTTGCATGTATGCCTTACAATCTCTATCTATTTACATATCAAACACAGAAAATTTGATATTTACATTTATAATATATTGGTGTCATAACCTATTCATGAAAAGATGTGTTTCACTTTTAAGAAGTTCATAGCAGTGATATTTTTTATATAATATTAGAGATTTGAGTGCTCTGCATCTAAATATGAAAGTTTAGATGTTAGATAGGTAGATGTATAAGAATTGTGTAAAAGCCCCTTAGCTTTATCTCAACCTTTTAGTGACACTTTTAAAGCAATCTTTTTAATATCACAACACATCATTGTGGTTGTTGAACACACTAAACTATGTGTATTTCCATCTTGTTGAGATGGAAGTTATTTAAGAAAATATAATGAAATTGATAAACATGATTTATACATAATATTATTATTCCTTAAATTTATTTCTTTATTCATATTATATAATGTGTCCTGGTTTCACTGAAATTTTTGTATGTTTTTCACGTCAATATTATTATTGTTTACTTCTCTACAGCCGTTCGTTCTTTGTTATTGTTTAAAATGATGGCTGTGGGCTAACTGTTAGTTTAAAAGGCCTCAAAATGAGCGATTAGTATTTTGATGCTGAAGACCATGCAGAAGTAGATTTGATGTTTATAAATCAATGACATTGTTTCCTCGTCTGTATTAGACTAATATCCATTGCCAAATCTACAGTAGCGAGTAGGAGCTCCTTGGTCCTCCTAAGATGTTGTAATATTCTACCATTGAAGGATTAGCATGTAATAATTTTGTTTAGTATTTTTTTTTTGGTCATCTTGTAGCCTACATTAGGTTATATGCCTTGGAATTCGAACTATTAATCATGAATTAATTAGAATTTTATACATAGAAGATGCTAACTTTCTTTACTAATTCCATTTAAGCAAAATGAGTTTCTAAGTTTGCACGACCTATGAAGCACAGTGATGATGCAAGATAGAATGCAATGTGGAGAAGAATAATAAAGGTGCACCTGATGCATAAGACTTCACTTTTTGGGGGATTTTGGGAGAAGTTGATGTAAAAAGCCTTGGCCTATATAATGTCATTTTTCAAATTCGAGCTTATTTATTACAATTTTTTTTATTGAATATGCACTAGCAGAAAAGTCCACCTTTTTGGGCTTAAATTACGAAAAGAAAAAACTATAAGGCAATTATCGGTGACCATAATTTTAGGCTGTTTTCATAACCACGTCCAATTAATAATCAAATAAATTTGGCATTTTGCTGATCACAATGATTTTAATGGTTTGGCTCCTTGTGCAGTATAATGCCACTTTGTTCATATATGGTGAAAGTACATACCATGTGAAGAATGTCAGGGATTTCCTCATCTTGAGAAACTATCTTTGATAAACATTTTTTGGGCGTGGTAGGAGTTTAGCCAATATTGTAATTCATAGAGTATTTTAATTTATATGATTAAATTAGGCCATGTTGATGGTGTTGGCCCATCTAAAGCTGATGATAATGGTGCATATTACCATTGTTGTCTCCTATCTTTCTTGCAATAAACCAAGGCATGCCCATCTGTTCATAAAAGCCATCCTTCGTTCATCTATTTTGGGCGGCTCATTTAATCTTTTGTTTGTTCCATTCAAATATGTGCAGACTTTTGTTTTAAAGTTTTATTGAAGGTCAATTGAGCCAACTTGGGGTTTTTCTAGCACTAGTTTAATGGGCACTAATTTGAACAAGATTCTAGTTTAACCTTTTCTTGGTTCTTCATCAATTGTGCTTCCAAAAAAGATTAGGATATTCGTATTTTCTTAACAAGAAAAGTGAATTTAAAATCCAAAAGTGAGTGTGATTTGGCGCTGGAATGCTCAGATTTATTTACAGATTTTTAATTTATTATCTTTTCAATTTTCATTTTTTTTTATTTTATTCTCACTTTCTTAATTTTTCTTTTTTTATTTATAAAAATTTTAAATTAGTGCATTATTCAATCTGTCAAGTTGCTTGAACATGCATGACTATAGTGCAATGAGAAATTTGAGCTGGATAGCAGGCTTTGCACATTTTTGCATTCTTTTCCAAGTGACATTATTTGAATTTGACTTCACTCAAAAGCATGCATAACACTTTGGAGCTATTTTAGTTTAAAATTTCATTTTATCACCAGCAATAGTGTTGTCATTAGAATGCATGCAAGAGTTTACATTTTGGCGCCTTGACACATTTTTTATGCATGGAATGCATGCTTCTTTGTGCAAATTAAATTGAGCTGAAATTGTCATGAAAAACCATCTTCTTTAAGATGCTTTGACTTTATTTTTTGTACTTTTACTGATTATTTTACTTTTAGCAATAGGTGAGCGGAACTTTACATCTATTTACATTTCACTGTGTTTTTGTTATGTGCATGATTTTTTTGGTGCAAGTGCTGAATGCTTGTCGATGCAACTCATGAACGAGTTTTTAAATTGTTGTTTTCTTTTTATTTTATTCATCTATACCTAGGTGGGTCACATTTGGGGAAAATTATTACCTATAAATAAAGGATCTGCACATATCACTTCATTGCCATTTTGTGTTCATAGTGCACGGGAAGTAATGAGGGGCTCTTGATTTCATTTGCTAGCCGGACACTAAAGCTTACGCAAGTACATCTTGTCTGTTATTGGGCTCTATTATGTGATTTTTGCCTAATTTCAGATTTTTGCACTATTGGCTTGTTATTTTTATATACAAATTATTTTGTTTTTGAAAATATTTTTGTTTAGCTTGTAAATTTCTACTTGATTTCAATAAAATTTTCCACATTATCCCTGTGGAAAAAATGGTACCCAAAAATATGTCAGGGTGTTATGTAAAAAAGAAAACTTATTTTTAATCTATTCTTAAGACAAAAAATAGCCTATTAGTCTTTCTTTTTCTTCAAAAGAGACATCTAAGGATCTCTCAACATTAGAAAATCCTTTCCATATAATACACTTACTATTGTGTGGTGGTGGGAGTGAATTGGAGAGGGGGTGCAAGAGACATGGGAGAGGCCCAGAGGGAAGGGGCTATGGAAGGCTCAAGAGGAAGAGCATTGAGAAACAAAAAGGGAAGTGCGGTATTTTTATCATTTTTTTAATGGATGAGAGGCTGATGCCCTCCACGTTACTAAAAAAAAAAAAAAACTGGGAACATTTGACTCCGCATAACCAGCTTTTCGTGTAAATTATTAAGTTGGGAGCTTTGTAAATTGTCATTATTATTATATAATTAAAAGCAAAGGGGAACGAAATATTTGGGCTAATGCACTAATAATAATAATGATTAGAGATATACACAAATTTTCTTACTAAACTTACCAAATGAAAGTCATGAAACATTTAGAACATGCTGCACTTTTCCAGAGATTAGTCTTGTTGCAATCTTTGCACAACTTGAACTTGACTAGCATATCACTTCTTGAAGCTGTACCAATTTATGAAGTAATGCTATAGTTTTGAAGAATTTTGAAAGAAGATTGCAAATGACGCAACGAACTGGTAGGCAAGTAACATGAAACCTCCTCACTCTCACTAAAGTATGGATATCACTCTTAACATCACCAAAGAAGAAATGGCAAATTTGCCACCAAGTTTAGTATAAGAAAAAAATCTCGATCTGTATTTCAAAAGTAGCATTTTCTATGCTAGATTGTTATGGCTATATATAAAAGCAATAGGAGTTTAAAGAGATAATTATATGAAGAGATAAATTATATAAATTTAGATGTTATAAAAATGTCTTTTGATTTTCTCATCATACAACTTCCTAACCTATGGTAGATCTTCAATTCTTGTATTTTCTCTCTCCTCCTACTTGACTTTCTTTCTTTCTCTCTGGACAAAAATTCTCTTTTGATTAATCTGCTGAAACAGATTAAAGAGAGATAATCTATAACTTCAATGCACATGTAACCTTCAATTTTGGTCAAAAAGTTGGTAAGGGTTAATGACATGGCACTCTCAAGAAATTTTCATTGAGAGTTGCTTGCAATTGTGATTATAAAAGCATTTCAAGTTTTTAATTAGGCTCATTTTATTTTCTACATAAAATTACACGACAAATTAGTTTAATAAGCTTCTAAAAATATGTTTTCTTATACCATTCAGGCAATGCTATATAGTTATGACTCGATTATTTTTATGTAATATTTGTAAAGGAGACCATCCATTTATTCAAATTAATATCTTCTAATATTTTTAACGCCTCCTTTATTTTGACATTTTAGTGTTGCATCAAATTTTTATTACAAGCATTAGGGGACAATGGACTGCCTTTATTATGCTGCTCTTTGACCATTGCAATATTGTTATATATATAGGTAGATAGAAAGATGGATAGATAGATAGACAGACACACAGAGATACAGGTGCAAAACTCATGTAGGAAACGTATAGTTATATTGATAAATGCTTGAGAATGTTTAACTAAAGAATAATCTTCCTAAGTACAAGTAATAGACCTGAAATTGGTTGTTCCAAATTGAAATCTAGCACTCACATAGGCTTTAGATACATGCTGGGCAGTGGAGGGATGCCTGACCTATAATACTTTAAAGGCTGATTATCATATCCATCATAAGATACCCCGTAGCAAGGTCTAACTAATCAGAACTTGATGGAGAGGGAAAACGAAGCTCAATTACTTGAATAACTCGGAAAGAGTAGTTGCAATGTTAGGGATAGTAAGATTTGCGGTAATTAAGATTGTGCGTGCTAACATGTTAATAAGCCTAAATAAAAAGTGGCAGCAAGAAATCTCTCATTTTGTTTCTGCTAACTTGTCAGATTAGTGATAAATGGTCTCCACTAGCTTAGTTTTCTTACTTACCCTATTGGATACTACAACGTTCTTGGACAGAAATTATTTTGTTTAGAGAAAATAGTTTAGACTAAAAAGTATATATCTTGGAGATATTCTTTCAAAAAGATAGGCGAGAGCAAATTTACATTTTTTTGGCCAACTCTTGAAGCATGCCAATTGCGACAAAGTTTCGAGATCATTGAGCATTATGTAAGAATGAAATAATCAACTGATTATCATTTGAAAACTTTTTCATCATCTTTATGATCTAGAAGAAATGCATCGAAGTAAATCAATTTGTTGTCATAATTAAGCAGTTTCATAAATAAGTATATTATTTTGTTTTAGATTTGATTTTTTTCATTCAATAATAATTCTCAATCTATAGTTTATATTTTACCAAAAAAAATTGGAGGACATAATTATTTAAAAACCGATTTACATACTTTTTGAATGATTATATTTTTCAAATTTGTTGATTATTATGTTTGTTTTGATGCAGATTGAAACACTTTAGGCTTGTAATTTTTTAATTTAAAAAAAAATTAAATTAAATCACAACAAAATTGATATTTTTTTCACACGTACTTTTAAAAATTAAAAGATAATTGTATACTTGTGACTTTTCTGCATTTAGCACAAAAAAAAATGGTTTTATATTTCATTATTTTAGACTTTAATATACTTTTGTTGTCAACAAATTTTCATCATCTAGTTGTACCATGAAATTTAATTGTGGCACCAATGTTAAAAAAATGTTTAGTCATAAATGAAGAGTCCATGACAATCTGAAATGTATTTGGAGAATTTATATCATGGTGAACGATAGATGGGTTAATCAACAAGTGATTTTGCCCTAAGGCAATAGGCTAGCAAGATTGGATGAGCATGATCGAGGATGATGAGGCCGTAGTACGGCAACCGGACTTGGTTTGTAGGTGAGCGAGTGGCCGACAATAAAGCAAGCATGTGTGAGCAAAAAGTGGGAGCGAGCAACAAGCACGCATGCACGGATAAACTAGTAAATGCAATTGTTGATTTTGCAAGATTTGGAGTAGAGGTTGCCTCTTGGTGAGGAGAGGGAGAGGAAAAGGAGGTGTATACTAACCTCTAGTGCTATCTTGAGGGAAAAGCGGTTCTATATCATTCCCTTAGTTTCTATTGAAACAAGATCAAGGGGCATTTACATACAAGCCACAAATTCTCATGTATTTACATTTCCATCACCGCAATCACTTTTAGAAGTGAAATGTAATGGCACCAAGGTGTTATAAATTTAAATATCGAAGTTTGGGTGTATATTTAAATACATAAGAATTATGTGGCATGTTTGTAAATTTCCATTTAATTTATCGCCTCTGATTTGAAATTTGTTGTATCAACTTGCAGGTGTGGGTATGAGTTTTGCTATAGTTGTGGTGCAGAATGGAAAGACAAGAAGGCGACATGTTCTTGCCCACTGTGGGATGAGCATTACGTTTGGTACGATGATAACACAGAAGAGTCGTCAGAAGATGATTATTATGATAATGATGAATTTTATGATGATGATGATGCATATGATGATGATGATGATGATGATGATATTCAAATGTGAGGTGAAAGCTTTCTTTTTTTCTTATTTGTATGAACTCTTAGCCTTCTAAGCTTTGTTTTTGTCTCTAAACTTTCTGTAAATATTGCCTGGAAAGAGATCTTGAACGCTTCAGAAAATCAGACTATGCTATGTGTGAGTTTTTTCTCAGTTATTTATATTGCAACGCACTGAGTTTAGTTCTTGGAATCAGGTTATGTTGTTTTATTTTGGCGTTGGTTTTTGTGATTGTTTTTTAGAGTTTAATATAATCATTTGGTGGATTTTGTGCTAAAGATTGTTTGAGCAAGAGTTTGAGCAAGATAATGTCAAGGGAGCGGCTTGGGATCACTTTCATTTTGGTTTTTCAATTTCTATTTTTATTGTATTTTATTTTATTTATGTCTTACTTTAAGATAAAACATGTTGGCATGTATATAATTAGGTTATGATTGTTTTTAAAAATATTTAAATCACTTAAAAAAAATTATTTAGTGTATTTTAAAAAATAAATGAACTTGTTTTTAAAAATAAAATTTAAAACATTTAAAAATTCAATAAAAAACATTAAAAAATGGAAGAAAATAATATAATATAAAAATGGGCCCTAAATATTTCAAAATTGGCATGCATAGCAATGCTTATGTTATATATGTAAAAATCGTATCTTGGTATTTATTTATGGAATATCTAAATTGTATAGTCAAATCAAATACGCCGATAATATATTAGTGTTTTTTTTTTAAATAAAATATGCTTTCTAATTCTTGTATTTATGATATTAGTTACATAATAAATAATATGCTGAGTTTTCTAAAAACAAACATGATTGATATGATTGAGGCCATTGAATATGAATAATTGAGTTGGCAATTTAAACGAGTAATATAACCATACTAAATTATAAACCTTGTTAAATCTCCAATACTTTATTGGCGGTCATCGAAAAACTAATTGAAATGTAAACGGAACTATTTTTTATAAGAAGCCAATGACGAGGATAAAAACCTGGTGCTTTATGACCCCATAAATTCGAAAAATTATTCCATACGGATCGGTCAACTCACGCAGCGTGCGTGCGGTGACCGATCCGGACCGTAGATCACCTGATCTACGGTCCTGATGTATTTCGATGGGTCCCCCAAAATTTTTTTTCTTTTTTTTTAAAAAAATGGAAATAATCCTGAGCGTAGATCAGCGTAGATCACCGTGATCTACGGTGATCTACGGTCAAGATCGGATACCGCATGCAGAGATGCATGCGGTGTCCGCACGCAATAATCTCTCCATAAATTCAGCTGTTTTTTTCAGCAACCACTTCAACTCAATTTATTTCATCAGCAGCTTCAACACGCAGCATCCCATTCCAAATATTGCTGTCTTAGCCATAATTAAATTAGAATTAGTCTCAAAATCGTTCGTATGAATATAATCTATAAATAATTATATGAATTCATGTTATACTAACTAGATTTCAGAACAACTTTTTCTCAATTATAATCAAAGAGACCGAGAATCTGAATGTAGTACGTCCATAAATTACATACAAGTTTTAAACCCAATTTGCAACGTATATATTATCAGAAAATTAGAAATGTGTCTGCAATTATATATATATATATATATATATAATTTCATTTGCACTATTAAACCGATTTGGACTAACCAATAACAGGTTTTTAATTAAAAGATGGTAGGAGTAAAAAACATCACAAGAAATTATCGTGTAAATTCATGACAATCTACTTTGAAAAAAGCTTTAAAAATGAGCAAAAAAGCAAAAGCTCCTGCATGACTCAGGAGTAGACTATACATTTACGAAACGAAAAAAAACCAAAGAAAACATAACAGTCAGGCGAATTTTCCCTCTTTTCCTAAGAGATCACTGGGCCAAAACTAGAGACTAAAATTCTAAGAATACCAAACACTGGAGGAGCTGATTATGCTCAAAATTTCTCAGATCCTCGCAGCCAAAATAAATTAGGGGATTTAAATACATACCATTTACTTATATAACATCTTAATGACTAAATCACATCAAAATATATACATAAAAAGGTATAGTTCACTTTACATAAGTTAATGCTAGTGATACTTTTGATGTGATTTGAAAACCAAAGTGTTATATAAGTAAATGAAAAGATCAAGGTATTATTTATATAAATACCAAAGACTTGGGGTGATATGTATGCAATTCCCCTAATAAATTACAAGATATATGTCATAGAGGCTTGATTGTCTATACTCTAGGCAGTCTTGTATCGGCCTCTCCGGACTTAATCATCGCCTTCTTTGCAAGCTCATAGCCTGCAAAGTTCATGGCACCCAGAGGTGCAATCCAGAAGAATCTTGGTAAAGCTCCCTTGAAAAACCCTAGTGGTCCCTCCTGCTGGAGAACGGAGAAGGCCACAATCTGCATAGACACAGGCTGCCCCTGAGGAGCGGTCATCATTCTCGTCTTCATCACATCAAAAGGATTTGTAATCACGGCTGAAAGCCCGCCAGAGAGAGCTCCTACTGCAATGGTTTCCCATGGCTCGAGCTCACGGTTGAGAAGACTCTGAGCAGCCTGTTGAAATTCACAATCTTCCAATTTTAATATCCATTTAATTCCATTTTACATGTATGATCTCACTTTAATTTTTTAGTGAACTTATTCAAATTCAAAAAACTCATCTTACCATACCATATGTATAATCATCTGTATTTCGACATCATCAAAATCTAAGTTCTAACTTTCGGGGGGAAAAAAAGAGAACATGCAAGCTTATAAAAAAAAAATAAACAGACTATAGATTCAACATTTTAGAACATAGAAAAGCTCAACCCAAAAATAAAAAAATTATGATCTCTTTCTAACTAGTAAAATAAAGTCACCGCCGTTGCCATTATTAAGCATGTTTTACATTGATTTTACTTTTCTTCAAATCATTTAAACTCTTGCATTTACTTACACTAAACCAAACAACTTTATGGTATTCAAATGCATTGCATTTCAATTACACTTTCTTTTAAATTACATTACTTTTTTCAGCAAATTAAATAGCCCTAAATATCCTCTTTATCTTTATGCCAACCTCTAAAATTTCAAATTCATTCCACTTGTAAAGTTCATTTAATTATTACTTCACCCTTGTTTCCATTTTACATGTAAGTGTTAGAAACGGTGGAGCCCGTCCACTATGCTTGGGCGGTTACTTTGCTTTGGAGAGTCACGCTTCTTTACAAATAACCACTCCCGCCCCTCTTTTGCGAAGTGAAGCATCTCTTCGCTCGCTCCTGTTCGTGATAAAAGCTTCGGATGACACTCCTTGGGTTTAATAATCACGCTTTGAGTTCTTCTTCGGTTTCATCGGGATAGAAGAAGGTTTCCTCGGGGCAGAGGAAGAGAAGTGCAAGGAGGAGCAATTCCTTACGATAGAAGGAAGAAGAAAAGATTGGTCTCCCTAGGCTTCTTCTTGGTGGCTTGTAGCAGAAGAGAAATTGAGTTTATTTCTCTTGTAAGTTTGTCTTCTTCGATGTATCTCGGTGTAGAGGGAGGAGAACAGAAGAGATAAAAGAGAGAGCAACAAAGTGAGAGATTCCTCTTGTAAGTCAAGGTGATCGACTGATGTAAATTTCTCATGTAGTAAAATCCTCATCAACTCCGTGGATGTAGGCAATTTGCCGAACCACGTAAATCTGTGTGTTTTGTCGTGTTGTTCTTTTTTGGTGTGATTTTTCTCGTTCTATTTTTCACTTCGTCGATCGTTCTCCTGTTTAATTTATATATATACCACATCAACTAATATATCTAGTTCGACGCAACAACAACAACTGGTATCAGAGCGTGGTTTCAGATTTGAGGAAGAATGATGACTGCAAATGAAGTGAGGTTTCAGTGATCGAGAGGTTTGATGACACAGATTTTGATTATTGAAAAATGCAGATAGAGAATTATCTTTATGGAAAGAAACTTTATCTTTTATTATTGGGGAAAAAACCTGAAAGAATAGATGAGGCTGAATGAAATTTGTTGGATCGACAAGTTATGGGGGTTATTCAATTGACTCTATCGAAGTCCGTTGCACACATCATCGTCAAGGAAAGAACGACTGCATATCTCATGGAAGATAAAAAGTCATCGGCGAATAATAAGGTGCACTTGATGAATAAGTTATTCAATTTGAAGATGGTGAAAGGTGTTTCTAAAGGTGTTTCTGTTGCTCAACACAATACTATCACAAATCAATTATCGTCTGTGGAAATTGATTTTGATGATGAAATATGTGCACTGATCTTGAATATGTGCACTGATATGTGCACTGATCTTGTTGGCTTCATTGTCAGATAGTTGAGAAGTCATAATGATAGCAGTTAGCAATTCTACAGGTAAATATAAACTGAAATACGATGATATTCGTGATTTGATTTTGACTGAGGAAGTTTGCAGGAAAGATTCTGGCGAGGTCTTAGGTTCGAGTAGGTTCGAGTTCGGCCGGCACTGAATGTTGATTTCAGAGGGAGATGACATGATAGGAACTCAAGCATAAAGAAATCAAAATCAAAGTTTAGTAAGCAGACAACCTATTGGAATTGTGGCAAGGCTGACCACATAAAGAATAACTACAGGAATCCTAAGAAGATGGAAAATGATAGCGCAAATGTGGTATCTGAAGAATCACAGGATGCACTATTGTTGACAGTTCATAGTTCTGTTGAAGACTTGATATTGGATTCAAGGGCTTTGAATGTGGTAGGAAATTTACTAGAGGCCACAGTGCAGAGCAGTGATGGAAGTGAAGAGAAAAGTGGGTCCAGGACACTCATTCCTATTGTTCCACAAACAGATGCTGGAGAACCACAGAGCTATGAAAAAATCTTACAAGATAAATGTTCGAGCAAGTGGGAGCTTGCAGAACTTCCATCAGGGAAGAAGACATTACACAATAAATGGGTGTACCAGGTGAAAACTGAGTGTGATGTCAGTGAAAGGTACAAGGCTAAACTTGTTGAAAAAGGCTTTCAGCAGGGGCAGGATGTTTCCCATGCAGTGAGAGTTGTAAGAAGAGGCAAGAGAGACCCAGGAAATAGCTTGGAGGTGCAAAGCTATGTGAAGTCTGCTGATATGTTGACTGAGGGTGTTACTCTTGAGAAACTGAAGTTGTGCACAACTTCAGTTGATCTTCTAGAGTGAAGACAAATGTTTTGAGTTGCAGAGGTGGAGGATTCATGTTTACATGTTGAAGATAAAGGCGACACCGTCAGTGGAGGATATCCGTTTGATGAAAGAGATGTTGCAGTCTGTGTATTGATCTCCAAGTGGGAGAATTGTTAGAAACGGTGGAGCCCGGTCCACTATGCTTGGGCGGTTATTTTGCTTTGGAGAGTCACATCTTTTCACAAATATTTACTCACGCCTTCTTCTTTTGTGAAGTGAAACATTTCTCGCTCCCTCTAATTCGTGATAAAAGCTTCGGATGGTTCTCCTCGTGTTTAGTAGTCACACTTTGAGTTCTTCAGTTTCCTCGGGATAGAGGAAGGTTTCCTCGGGGCAAAGGAAGAGAAGTGCAAGGAGGAGCAGTTCCTTGCAGCAGAAAGAAGAAAAAGGAAAAAGAAGATTTTTCTCCTTAGGCTTCTTCTTGGCGGCTTATGGCAGAAGAGAAATTATGTTTATTTCTATTGTAAGTTTGTCTTCTTCGGTGTATCTCGGTGTAGAGTTTCTTCGGTGTAGAGAGAGAAGAACAAAGAACAATGAAGTGAGAGATTCCTCTTGTAAGTCAAGGTGATCGACTGGAGTAAATTCTTCAAGTAGTAAAATCTTCTGCAACTCCGTAGATGTAAGCAATTTGCCGAACCACGTAAATCTGTGTGTTCCGCTGTGTTGTTCTTTTCTGATGTGATTTTTCTCGTTATATTTTTCACTTCGTCGATCGTTTTCCTGTTTGATTTATATATATACCACATCAACTGGTAATATCTAGATCTCGCAATAACAACAACAGTACGATCTCAATTTATTTTTTTAGTGAACTTATTCAAATTCAAAAAGCTTAACTGACCATACCATATGTATCATCATCTGTATTTCGACGACATCACAATCTGGTGTCCAAATTTAACTTCTAACTTTTGGGGAAAAGGAAAAAGAACATGCAAGCTCATAAAAGAAAAGAAACAGACTACAAGAACATAGAAAAGCTCAAAACCCAAAAATAAAAAAAAAAATTTATGATCTCTTTCTAACGAGTAAAATAAAGTTACCTTTTTTGCTTCAGCGTATATACCCATCCCAGCCACATAGAAGGGCACTTCCCGGCAAAGTGTGGCACCTGTTCCCCTAAAGAATCCCTTTAAGCCATCCTGATGTAAAGTGCCCACAATTGCCTCTCCTACATTGTCAAAAATACCTGCCTGTAGACGTTGCTTCAATACCTCGCATGGAATCCTGACTGCGGTTCCTAGGACTGTGCTGCAAAAGGATGCAATAGATTGCACCTAAAGGATAAGAAGGCTTCTTAGACAGGAACGGACACAAAATGCTCTTTTTTTTCTTTTTCTGGTGAGATTTTAGGTGAATTTGATCACAAACTCATACACACCCATACAGTAACTCCTAACAAAGTACGTGCAGAATATATCACTGATTAATATTCTAACTGATAATTATTTTATTAAAAAAAATATTTCTTTTGTTTCTAGTTTTTTTAATTTTTTTTTATTTATAAATTCATAGAAAATGTCAAAAGAAATATAATTATAATTGACCACAAAATCTTGAAAATTAAAATTTCATCTATCTGGTTCAATCCAAAACATACCAAATTCATCAAGTCTAATTTTTAAACTATTTAGACAATCATTTAAAAAAGATTGTTCAGACATCTAATAGACACCCACATTAACGCTGGAAGAAAATGTTTAGGACCTAATAAATTTAAACTTAGGTTTTCCTTTCTTCATCCCCATGACATAGTTTTAGCAGATTCATTATAAAAAAATAAATAAAATAAAATAAAAATCTTCAATCTTCATGAGAAACTTACTACTAAATAATATAGTTACAATGCATATTTCTACTTAAAGAACATAATATCACACATCTCTGCATACTGATTTGTCATTTAAGAATATAAAGCACCAATAAAGGGAAGAAATACAAAATGTCATTTTTATCATAACAATGGAATCACTGAATTATAAGATGACAACTTGAGAAAAATTTGCAGAAAGGAACAAATGGAAGCTACGTTTACCTGAATATCAGGAAGGGTTGGCGCAACATTTATGAGGATGAGCTTGCTTGCTTCAAAGATGCCAGTTCTTAGACCATGGCTGTCAATTAGGAGCAAAATGATACACTTTGATGGCGAAATCAAAAAGATGAGCAGTAAAAGATTGCTAACCTTGAAAATTGCCCAAGAATGGCAGGGATAGAACCTCTGTACAATCCTTGAATCCCGATTTCAGGAAGCCTTGATACGAGTTCAGGGAATGAAAGAGTGGATGCTTGTACACGAGTCTGATAAAAAATGCAAATCCATTATACATGATGACAAAAGAAGCATTACAGTTATAAGAGCAATTGCATTACAATAATAAAACTTCTGAATAAAAACATTGCTAACAGAACTTGTCTAAAAAAAATAGTTTTTTTTTTCTTCGAAAGAATTGAAAAAAAAAAAACAAATAAAATTTGAACAATACGATTACTTTATCTGATAAGCAAGTACATGAAACGATGGATTTCAGCACATACACAAATCAACCTTAATTACGCAATAATAAGCATTGCAAATAAAGTGCAGTTTAGATTTACTATTGCTGGAAATCAAGATGACTCCAATGAATGGTCAATTTTCTTTTTGTTTTTTGGATTTAATCATCTCTTTAAAAGTTGGCAAAGAATCATATCCTGCATCTGACTTATATAGTTACGACTAAGCATTCATTCTAACCTAAAGACTACATCAGAAAGCTCAACACCAATGCACTTATCAAAGCTTACAATTTGGTTTTCTTGTAGCAATCTAACATTTAAACATTATTTAATAAAGCAAAGGGTAAATATATTTAGGAACTTGTTTATTTTTCTTCTTTACAATGCAAATATGGAGGAATGAAGTTTTGGTGCTTTGCCTTCATTGTATCAATAGGATACATCACAGAAGTAGAAAGCGCGGATGCAAGACCTCCTGCCAAAGCAGATTTCAGAACACTTTCAGCAGGTATTTCCACTGGTGGGGGAACGGCGACAAGGGTGGCAGCCTCAAACCAGATGCTCCTACAATTTATGTTCAAATAATGACTTATAACCAGCAAACAAATGAAATAAAAAAATCAGTTTTTATTGAGGGTAAATAACCAAATTGCAGTACAAGAGAACACTAATAGTCAAACATAGACCAAATTTAACAGATAAAGAGGAAGATTTACATACATACCACTCAGTTCTTATGTATTTACATATCTAAGTTTAGCTGTTAGGTATGTAAATACATAGGAATTGGGTGATATGTATCTGAATGCTCGCACCAAAAAAGAGAAGAAAAAAACTGATCTCAGAGATAAAGTGAGTACAAAAAAAGAATGAAAGCACTTGCATAAAAATCATCCGAATTACTATTGCTTAATACTAGCTTCAGCCAAATCACGACTGAATTTAGCATAAGTAACTGAAAGAAATCAGAGATTCCCATGGTTCACCAGAATTTAAGCTAAATATGTTCATAACAACTTTCCTAGCTAATGATATATATTCTGAAAATAAAGACCATCATTGTACAACATCTTCCACAATTTATATTTTAAAAGTTTTCTTGTAATCAGGAAAAATTGAAAAAGTTATTTAGCATCTCGTAAAATGGTAGTAATGAACCAGAGAATGAAAAAAGCAGAACGATGACTTCTAATTTTCAGTATGATCGTTTCTATTCATAAACCATGTAAGAAATGATGTTTAGTAACATATTTATCCTTGAGCATACAAGCCATTTGAAACACGACCAGCCTGCACTCAAGAGCTCGCCAGTGAAGTCACGCAGGACACCTAAGGCCTTTGTTTCTCATTACCAAATGCTGCCTTCATCCTCCCAACTTTTCATCATTCAATCTTAGTCATATTAACTAAATCACATAAAACAATTTGAGCTCAAGTAGCCTCCTTAACCAAAACAGCTCTCTCGCAAGTGTGAGGGATAATTAACTATGAAAATTTTCATCAATGAGAACAGCATATCTTAAACATAATATGTAGAATTTCTACTTCAATTATAGAAAAGAACTGAAGGCACACGGATCAAATCTTTGTACAGTTAGATCTATTTATTTATGACCCTCAGATAACAAAGAACTTAAGGCAAACAAATCGAGACTCTATACAGTCAGATCAAGACACACAGATTGAGGCTCTGTTCATCAGATCAAGGCACACAGATCGAAACTCTATAATTTGTGTGCTTTCATATAGGATCTTCAGCCCCTAATTATTGCCCTCCTTTTTTTATTTTATCATATTTTGCAATGCCTACGGGAGTTGTACATATATCTCCCATCTTGCACAAAAGAAAGGAATGAAAATTCGCGAGAGTTTTTCTCATTACTCATTTTCTACATGGAATTAGATTGAGGTTAGGAAGTTCCCTCCAACGTTTATTCTTATTCTCTAACGTTAGTTTTTACAAGTCTGACATTATCTCACTTGTCGAAAGTTTCTTTCAGAAGAATGAACCATAATTAAAAGTGAAAATCAATCCAAAGAAGAACTCTAGGTATTCCAAGCATATTACCACTTGAACTGGAAAAATTATCTTAAATGGTCCCAAATTGTATAACACATTCTAAAGGGAAAGAGAGAGATTCAACGCCTTGTGGATCTACCTCCAAAGCCAAAAGCTCCAAGTTTTTACTTTGAGAAGAAATTGATTTAATGATATCATGACATGATTGTAGAATATCATCCTACCAAAGATTAGTGGACCTTTTATGTTTCTCTTCACCTCAAAAGATGTTTGGGATACATTCAAACAAAGCTACTCAAAGGTGAAAGATGTTGCCCTCATCTATTAAATCAAGACAAAATTTGCCAATATTAAACAAGGTAACATTCATGTCATTGAATAATCACTATGAAGGTTTACTGGTTAGAGTTGGACCATATTGGCAGGACCCGACAATAAGTTTGACCAAATTCAGATGCAAGTCTTAACGGAAAAAATCTCCATTTATGAATGAAGTATTGTCTCTCGTTCGAGCAAAAGAAAGAAGAAAGGATGATGATGGTCGATGTTCTAGTCCTCAAGATATCTGCAAAAACAATATTAGGAAGAAGTTGTTCTAATAGCTACCTATTTAATCAATAGAATGCCCTCAAGAATAAATGATTTTAAAATTCCATTAAATTATTTGATAGATTTTTTTCCTATGAACAACTTCTCAAAAATCTCTCCAAAAATTTTTGGATGCATTGCTTATATTCATGTCCATAAACAACATAGAAAAAAATTTAATCGAAAAGCTCTAAAATTCATATTCATCAAATATTCTACCACACAGAAAAGATACAAATGCTATCATCCACAAATAAAAAGGTTCTTCCCTTCAATGGAAGTCGTTTTTAATGAAACCTATAGCTTCTCACTCAAACTCTTCTTTAGGGTGAGATTTCTCACCTTAATAAATTTGATAAGATCTTCCATCTAGACATTCCTGTAACAGAAAATCCTTCAAATATAAATCTTGCACAAACAATCCCCATTTAGGTCTATAAAAGAAGGAACAAGCCCAACAAAGATCAACAACAAATTCAAGACTCGTAACCATTACCAAGTAAAAAGACTTATATCCTCATTCAATACAACTCATTTCATAAATTCTATTCATCTCATAAAGCCTTTTTAACCTACATCAGTATCTATCATATTTTATTCCATAAATTTTATTTGAAGCACCTGAAAATAAAAAATAAAATAAAATAATAACAGAAGAAATGAATGCCTTAAGAAAAATAAATGAGAACACTGAATTACCAAAAGGAAAAAGGATTGTAGAATATAAATGAATTTTCAATGTGAAATAAAATGCAAAGGGAAGCTTAGAAAAATATAAAGTACGATTAGTAATAAAAAGATATACTCGATTATATGGAATTGATTATCAAGAAACTTTTGCTCCGATTACAAAAATTGAATAATATTAGCATTTTGATGTACCCACTTGTTAATTATGGGTAGCTTGTAATGCAATATGATTTCAAAAATGTTTTCTTACATAGTGATGTTGAAGAAGAGGTTTACATGGATCCACCACCAAGATTTGATAGCTCTTTTAAAAAGAATCAAATATGCATATTAAAAAAGACCTTATATGGACAAAAACAGTGACTAAAAGCTTGGTTTGCCAAATTTACAAAGGCTATAGAAGAAGTTAAATGAAAATAGAGTTAAGGAGAAAGCACTCTCTTGATGATAAAATATCAATTTATATTGTATATATTAACGATAAGATTGTTATGAAGATGACAACCAAGAGAAAAAAATTCTTAGAAAATAAATTACTTCAGAAATTGAAATTAAAGAGTTAGGAAAACTAAAACACTTTCGGATAATATAAGTGGCTCAATCAAAACAAATGATATATCTCTCCAAACAAAAAAAAAAACTTATAAACGCTGAAAGAGACCAAGATGATAAAGTGCAAGCCGTGCGAAACTCCAACTAAACTAGGAAAAAAATTAGATCATAATGGAGTTGATGTAGATATGAAACAATACCAATGCTTAATAAAAAAATTGATCTACTTATCTCAGACTTGTCCAGACATTGCATTTGCAGTAAGCCTAATTAGTCAATTAATGCAGAAACATAAAGTGTCGTGCCTTTATGCCACTTATAGAATCCTCAAATATCTCAAATCTAGCCCAAAAAAGAAATTTATACAAAAAAAAATGATACCTACAAGTTGAAGAATGCACAGGTGTAGATTATGTGGAATCACCAGAAGAAAGAAAATCTATATCAGCGTATCATACATTCTTGGAAAGAAATCTCATAAACTTAGAAAAGCAAGAAAAACCCTGGGTTTTAAGATCAAATGTTGAAGCCGAGCATAGAACCATTGCACAGATAATTTCTGAGTTCAACGAGTTAAAATTGTATTAGAGAATTTAAAATTAAAGTGGAAAGAGCCTATGAAACTATGTTGTGCACACAATACTGCACAACATAATCATACTAAGCATGTTGAGGTTAAAAGGCACTATATAAAAAAAAAATTGAAAAGCGACTAAATTTGCACTCCATATATGTCCCAGAAAATCAACTGATTGATATACTCACCAAATGACTCTGCAACCATTTAAAAATATCATAAGCAAACTTGGGATGTAGATCTTTACCATCTAGTTTGAGGGGGAGTGTTGAATTCCTACTCCAATCATAGCAAAGAGTTGAAGGCACACCGATCAAAGCTTTATATTGTTGTATTTGTTTATTTATGACCCTTAGAAAATGGAGAACTTAAGGCGCATAAATCGAGGGGCTTTATACCGTCAAATCAAGGCACACAAACTGAGACTTTATAGAATTAATCAAGGCACACAAATCGAAACTTTGTACCGTAAAATTTGTCTCTCTATGACCCTTGGATTGTAATCTGTGTGCTTTCCCATAAGATCGTTGACTCCTAATGATTTTTCCCTCCATTTTTGATTTATTTCTATTTTATAATGCCTGCAGGAGTTGTGTATACACATTCTCTCTTGTACAAAGAAAGGAATAAAAATTCTTAAGAGTATTTCTCACTACTTTTTTTCTACATAATATCAAAAGAAATCAAATTAAAATAAATTTATGCCATTTAAAAGAAATTGCTACAAAGTTCTCTTACACTGCGAAAATGACTCAAAAAAGGTGATGGCTTTCCTTAAGAGATCTTGATGATATTAAAAATTCAAATGCATATATTTATTACAAGTGGCCATAAAAAGAATCCTTCATCTCAAATACTTACATAAATTATGTTTCCTAGCCATCATTAACATGCACTCACTTATACAACTCTTGGTTGCTTGCTTGGGTTAAGGAAAATTTTACGTGCTAAAGATCCTCAAAAGAAGGAGCCCGACAGATTATTACGAGCAAGAGGGAGAAAACTACAAGTTAGAATAACTCTTCATCCATAAGGTTTAAGATCATTTAGTTCTTATGTTGATTACACTCCAAAAACACCTTTCTTCATTTGTTCAATTCCCATGTTAGGATTACAATCTATTCCTCTTATTAATTT